GCTCGGCAAGGAAGACGTTGTAGGACTCGCGCATGCGGTTGACGGCTCCCTTAGAGTCGCGGTCAAGGGCAAGAGCCTGTGCCAGCTGGAAGAGCAGAGTGGCGGAGTTGACTGACTGCTTGCCAAAGACAGACTCGCACACTCGGAGGGACTCCTCGAACCAGAGCCTGGACTCGTGGTAGGCCTTGAGATGCTGCAGCATCACGGCGGCGTTGTTGATGGTGGTGATAGAGTCGGGGTGGCCAGGGCCATAGATGACCTTCCACATCTTCAGGGCGTGCTTGGAATACACCAGAGCGCCCTTGCTGTCGCCAACCTGGTGGAGGAACAGGCTCAGGTTGAGGTAGTTAAGAAGGGTCTCAGCCGAGTCAACACCGACAGTTCGCTCAGCGACGATGATGGCCTTGCGGGCAAGCTCAACAGCAGCCTCCTTGTCATCAAGCTGGTAATACAGCATGGACAGGCTGTTGTAGACGCGAGCCACCTCGGGGTGCAGAATTCCGTAGATCTGCTCATGCAGGGACAGAGACTCCAACAGGAGCTCCTGACCAAGCTTCTTTTGGTTCTGGAGGATGGAGATCCGACCGGCCTCGAGGGCCTCCTCAGCGAGGGCGCTGCGAGGGGCAGAGTCCTTGATCAGGGGGACCAGGTCAACAACGTCGTCAACGCTGAAAGTGTGGAAGCTGGCGGAAGCAGCAGCCTCGGGAGGAGAAGCGTCACGGGCCTTGTTCTTCTTCTTCTTCTTGCTGGACTCGCCGTTGGTCTGACCGTTGGCGGCAGGCTGAGCGGCCTTGGGAGCGGCAGGGGTGGCAGCCGCCGCCTCAGGGGTGAAAGCGTAGTCCTTGGCCTGGACCTGAATACCGATCTTCAGGCACACCTCACGAAGGAGCTGAACAGGGCGGAACTGGTTGTGCCAGTCCTCATCGAGCTCATATCGGAAGCGCTTGAGAATCTGCTCCTCAATATCTTCCCGAAGGCTCTCAGGAGTGACCTTCTCGAAAGAGAGATCAGCATCGGCGTAGAGAGTTCGCAGAGAAGGGTCGATCTCAGCGACAGGTTTGGAGTTGAACTTGTGGCCAAGAAGACAGTTGAGGAGGTGCGCTGTGCAAGCAGGGACGATAGGCACAGGCAGATGGCGGAGGTACACGGCGGACAAGTGCTTGAAAGCACGAGCAACCATGTCCTGGACGCAAATCTCGCGCAGGCAGCGCAGGCGGCCGTCGTTAGCGAGCTCGGCCACCTTGCCCAGATACCTCACGTTGATACCACGCTTGTGCAGGAGCCGGCTCAGGGACTGGCCATCCATGGGGAAGCTGATATCGGAATCGGAGAGCTCGCGGAGCAACTCGGGGATGACCTGCTCACGCAGGTAGGCGCCGGCTGCCCTGACTTCCGCCTCATCAGCGGCAAATTCGGCCTTCTCCTCCTCGGTCTGAGGCACTTGGCCGCTGAAAGCGTCGGGGTTGAGCGAGAACTTGAAGTCGGACAGATCAGGCAGGTTCTTCTCGGCCTTGGAAGCCTCATCCTCGCCTTCCTTCTCCTCCTTTTCTTCCGTTTCTGCCTTGTCCTCCTTCTCTTCCTTCTCTTCACCATCCTTCTCTTCCTTGTCCTCCTTGGCGTCTTCGACTTGCTTCTTCTCCTCAGCCCTGCGGGCAAGTTCCGCATCCACCCACTGCTTCATCTTGTATCGTCCAAAAGAGTCGACAAGCTCAGGTCGCAGGACTGTCATGCGGTGAGGGTAGGCGTCACCATCCTCAGGGAGACCATCCTCGTCAAGCCAAGCAATATCGAGAGGGCTAATGCGGTAGAGGTCCAGCACGTACTTGCGAGCATCGGTACCCAGCAGACCCTTGGTCTCCACACTCGCCTCCAGGTCAAATCGCTTACCCTCCTTGTCCCAGACAGGGTGCTTCTTGACCTTGAGAGCCTTGGAAAGCTGGGCGAAGCCAGGGGCAAATCGCTCGTCGGCAGCCACAATATCCTTTCCATCCACCGCACCATAATCGATCTGGTTCTCACCGGGCTCACGCTGCTTGAAGATTCCAGGCACAATGCTCTGTCCGACAATTCGCTTTCCGACATAGTCGACAACCACGGTGGCGGGAGTGAAGAGTCCCTCGATGTCGAGCTGGTTAACAAGCTTGACACCAGCAACATCCTTGCCGGTGGCGACTCGGGCAGCCTCATCACCTCCCTCGGAAGTGAAAGTACCTACACCATCAGCACCAAAGGAGAAGAAAATGTTGTTGTAGACAAAGATCTGAGCGTCCTTGCACTCTGTAGGGTTCAGGGGAGCAATCTCGCCACGGGCAACCATAACAGCACCGCGGGTGGCAGCATCATTGTAATCAGCGAAAAGCTTCGAGATCAGGCGCTCACGGAAGACTCTGTCCTGCACAGTCTCACGAGGAAGCTCCTTAGCTGACTGAAACTCTTCGTTCCAATCGCGAAGAGTGTCGGTGTTCTCGACGCCAGCAAGCAGATAAGTCTCTTGAGATCGCGTAGGATCGGGGAGATGTGTGCACAGGGATGAACTAGGTGAAGGCACCACCCAAGGAGCTGCGGGGATGGCGTTGGTAATCTGGAAGGTTGCAAGAGGGTCTCGCTGGTTGTTGTACTCCTGAAGCTGGGTAAAGGCGTTGGTGAAAGAAGGTGAGATAAGGTCGATCAAGCTCAGCAGCGAGTGAGCGGACTGGCCCTTGGGTGCTGGCCGAGGGTAGGGGTCGAACTTGGCGTTGGAAGACTTGTTGACAAAGAAGCCGGAGACGTGGGAGGTGATCTGATATTGCTCACCCTCGGTGGTGGTGACGACGAGGTAGAGCAGGTGGCCTCGTTGTCGCAGGTGAGGAGGAGGGGGGTTCCAGGACGACAGAGCGATCTGTTTCACAGTCTTGGGAGCCGGCTCGGTGGGCTGGGGAACCAAGCTGGTAAGTGAGGGCACGGCTTGGAAGTCGTAGTCCTTGATGGGCAGCTCCTCAGTAGACTCCTCCTCAGCGCTGCCCTGGGCCTCGCTGGCGACTGTCTCGAAGAGGGACAGACCGGGAAGCAGACCTTGGGTTGTGTCTGATCGGTCACCGGCAGCACCAATAAGCTCTCGAATGCGCACAAGGTGGATGCGAGCCTCTTTCTCGGTGTATGGGTCCTGAACGAGGTGGAACTCGGGAGTTGCGCCCAGGTCAGGAATCTCGGCGAGGGGAATGAAGTCGTTGATCTTCTCGCCGTTAAACTCGAGGTGGAAGCATGTGTACTGGAAGGCGGACGGAAGGTCGATGATGGACTGGCGGACCTCATGAACCTGTTCTTGAGACGACACCTGAATATCTTGGTGAGCGAGGGGTCGTGGAGGGGTCCAGTTAAGCCGAATGACGGACCATGATCTGCATCTTGCTGGCCTTGGCGTCGGGCAGGATGATGGTGAGAGTTAATAAAGCTGTAGACGCATTAGACATGCCATTCTACTCTTCATTGGGAAGCACAATGCAAGGTACCTTCAGCGCCGGCATCGACGTCTGGAGCTTCGGCCGCCATGGTGTTCTCGGGCTCCTCGGACGCATCCACTACAAGCCGAATTAGCTCCCCGCTCACGACAAAAGTAGCAATGGCAATGGGCAAAGCAATAGTAGAACCGAGAGCATGTTCAATTAACAAGACCAGGCCTTAACGAGACCCTGGACTTGACAGGCATTGACAAGGGCGGTCTAGTTTGTGCATCAAATACGTACCGTGCGCGGGAGCGGGAGGAGTAGGGTCTGAAGCCATGTTGAAAATGGAGGGGTAGGAGAAATTAAACGGACAAGGGGGAGATAGAACGAGGTGAAGGAGGGGGGAAACCAGGCATGGGATATGCACTAGCAGAAGAGGGAAACAATTGAAACGACGTTGTTCGTCGATGCAAGTAAAAAGATGGATGGAGTGACGGGACGAAGGGGAGGAGGAAAAAAAATTGACGGCTATTGGAGTTGTGGTGCGGCGGCAATGCCCCGGCATTACAGTCCGGACTCTGGGAGTACCCGGACATTGGGCACGCGACAGAAAAAATACCTCTTTTTTCTTAGCGATGCTGCGGGTATCCAAGGTACAGTCCGGGTATTCCTGGGTAGGGCCCGCGCCGGCGCATCCACCGAGGCCGGCGGCTGGATCCCCAGATGCTTCTCGGTAGCGCTAGGCCAGGAACGGAAGAAAGTAAACATGGATACTGGCCATGACCACGGTTCTTTGTCCCACACATAACAACTCATGATAGCTTTCATCATCTGTCCAGGACTCATCATCAACTGCTCTTTATCATATTAAAGAACCTTATTTTCACCTCTTGGACATCAATCTATTGCTATTCCTTACGAGTTACTGTTGTTTAGGATATTGGCATCCACATCAGAATGGACGAGCCAGTCCTCACTGTCCCCTCGCCGTCAGCCCATCGCATCATGGCTGGAGGCTCAAGAGGAGACAAGGCTCAGCCTTGGACTGCAGCACGATGTCAACGTCTCCTACGTCAACTCCAGTGTCGCCTGGTAGCCCTGAGAAAGCTTGTCAACGAAGCCCAGCAACGAACAACAAACACTCGATCGAAACGACCCAACACCGATGACGACGCCACGGGAGACCGAAAACGAGTGCGCTACACATACGGGCGACGTCGTTCGGCTCCAGCACAGACAAAGCCCGCAACAGCAGAACTATCTACGCCTCCTCGTTCCGTCCGCACTCTCGGCGCCATGAAGATCGATCGCTCATCGCCAGGGGAGGGACGGGTTGACTTCCCTACGCCCTTGCTACGGAAGTTTCGCGAGCAGTCAACAACATCTCAGCCATTACCTACGAAGTCCGAGTCAGCGAACCCATCTTCGGCATCTCTTGTTGCCGACCTACAATCCCTCCGCCGGATAGTCCCTGAGAGCCAATATCGAATCTACGAAGCCATTTTTGGGTGGATGAACACTTTGCTTCGATCGACCGAGCCGCTATCACATATTACTCACCCCAAATCGCTTCTAGGCATGTGCCTCCGGAAGGTTCCGGCTGCTCTGGCCGCCATAGAGGCCTGGGACGAGCAGATCGCAGAGGAAGAAGGCAATAGGTTCAAATGGGAATCATCCAAGGCGTCAACGGAACTATACGGACAACTTGAGGGCTTTGGTGCGACAGGTCTCGGCTGGAAGCCGTTGAAACTGGTCGTCCGGGCACATGCTTTGTCTCTCCTGGCCGGAGCTGTATCAGAGGGATTGTTTGAGCCTCCATTTGTACGACTGCTAGCGGAGCTTTGCATCAGTCTCGAGTCCAGCGAAGAAGCCGCGCGGCTCGTATCAAGTCTCGATTGCCCCCTGGCGGCGCCTCGCAGCTCATCAAGCACCCTTGTGGAAAGCAACACAGTTCAGCCACTGGGCGTCATAGTCAAGAGCCTGCATAACCAACGCTCATTCGGTGCAGCCTTTGAGTGCCTCTCAAGTCTTGTCCGCACTAAAAAGCTATCGCTGAGTTGGTTGACATCAAGGGCATTTCAAGTTGTCTGGACTCGAGGCATCGAGGTTCTGAATAGCAGCAGCCCAGCACCCTCAGCGATCGACTTTATCTGTACGGCCATCGACCAACTAGCGTCACACGAGGGCAAGAAATCAGGGGCAGAGAAAAATCCAGAAGAGCAGACCTTGGTGAGTGTCCTTGCTGCACTGACAGCGGCAGCATGGACACTGGGTACCGAGATGTGCGACACTACAGGACCGTGGAGGAAACAAGGTGCTCGACGGATGTTACACGTGCTCGAGTGTTGCGTGGTTCAGCAACAGAAACGTCGTGGAGCGTTTCGAAGCAACGGTCTCTTTACCCTCGCTCTAGCACGATTCATTGCTACGGCCATGATCGACAGCGATGTCATCGATCTGACAGCGAAACAACAAGCGAGTCAGGAGTGCTCCAGATTGTTGACAGTTGGAAACGGAACGCCGTCCCGATGGCAATACCGACAAACACTCCTGATGGCCTGCTTCGTTGCGCAATATCGGGGAAGAGCATGTGCACTAGCGTGTCACGATGTCTTATCGGAGATCTGTGCAACTTTTGATGGTCTTGGGCTTCCCGATTGGTTTCACGACGGTTTGAGATCGGACGGGGCCTTTGTTTTGGCGCAGAAAACAAAGGACCTCCGAGATGTTGCTTTTGCTGAGAGTCTTCCCGCGGCGGGCAAGGGCACTCTGGAGACGACAACCATCTTTTCGGGCTGGCGATGGGAAGAGGGCATTGGCGAATGGGTGCTCCCCAGCCCTGAGCCAAAGATAGGAGGTGAACCGAGACAGCATCAGGATAAACGAGAAACGAGGGGCCAAAGAGGCACAGATCTACACCAAGATGAACGAGACCGGGTCAACGGCCCTAGATGGAACGGGCCCGTCCAGAGTAGCAGTACGAGATACGACAGAAGCAGCTCGGTGGGGAGCGACGAGGATGAGAACGATGACGACAACGCGGGTACCACCGACGACGAGGAGGAGCATGATACGAGCGTTACCACTGTCATGGACATGGACATGGACATGGAAGATAGCGAGGACGAGCTTGGCGGTTGCGCACAGATGGAGGGCTGCAACGGGGTCAAGGCCCGGTTACCAGCACGGGGGGTTGGGATCTATACTGGGGATCCCAGAGGAAGCACGAACGGTGGGAACAAAAGTAGCAGAAGCGGAGGCACAACAACCGTAAAGGTGATGAAGAGGATCAAGCGCGCGGGCAGCACACGGGCCCGTCTAGGGGCCGGGTCCGAAAAGCTCGGCAGGGGCAGACGGGAGAAGCAAGATGAAGAAGACATGCATCTGCCGGCCGGGCTTGACTGGGACGACGACGAGCTTGGAATGGCCTGAGTGGCTTGATAAGGCAATTACAATCAAAACAAGGTTTGAATTGAGGCTCGTCTGTCCGTCGCGAATCATTGCACGTCTCAGCGTCTGTCTCAGGCCTTGACTGGACAGCATTCCCCTCTCCTCAGGGGCCCAAGTCTTGGTTACGACAGCATCTGTCATTGTGGGGCTGGAGCCACTTGAAACCGCCGTTCCTGTTCCCCGTGAAGCTCGCGAAGCAATTCTCTGAGACGGGATCTGCAATTGGCCCATGTTGCTTCGTTTTAGTACCTATCGGAGAGGGCTCACACACGGCACGCGTATGCATCTCGAGTTGTCGCACAGGCCACACCTGTATGCACCGCACTCGAGATAATTTCTCCGTTGGCCTCGGCCATCTCAGAAGCAAAGCAGCAGCTTAGATTTGAGGTGCGTTTTAACATCATGCCCAGGGACGCGCCACAAACGCCCAGATGCCGGGGAATGCCCTTGTTTCAGAACCCCGTCCCGCCCCGCCACTGTCGGAGGTCCGTCCGCCACTCGGAGGCGGCGTCCATCCCTCCCTGCTTCTGTAGACGCTGGCTAGCTGCGAAAAGCAGAGGTGGCAGAGGTTGGGCAGACCAATAGCCGACTCGGTAGAAGCAATCTTGATTTTTTCTCGATGGACATCTTGAAACCACCCCTGAGCCCGGCCTAGTTGGTGGCCCCAGCTGGAACTGGGTCCCGCGCTACCGGTTGCGTGTGCCTGCGTGTGTGTGTGTGAAGGCAAGCTGAGAAACCAGCACAAGAGAGAGAAAAGCAAGGGGCTGTCACTGCGAGGCAGGCGGCTCTCTGACACTGTCAATACGCGTCCTCGCAGCTGGAGGTATGCAACATGAGGGCAGGCATGATCTGCTTGTGCCTTGATTGCTGGGGAATTTATTTACGGTCCATATTTTTTTTCTTCAATAACATACCCATACCCATGCCCATGCCTGACCGTGCTTTTAATTCTTGACCCTTGCTCACGGCAAACCTCCGCATCTCTCTCTGTCGTCTGTTCATTCCCAGAGACGGCTCAGGATTGTTTGTTTCGGAGCTGGCTTCCATCCATTCAGTTCCTATTTACGCTCCTTTTCCCACCGTGACTTCGCTTCTTCTTCTCTTCTCTTCTTTCCTCCCCTCGCCCGCCGTCGTCGTTTCGTTCCTCCCGGGGAGGTTTCCATTTCTCACTACACCTCGTTTCTTCTCCTTGTTGTTGTTTCACTTCATCCTCTCCTTCCGTTCCGTTTCGTTTCTCTCCCATCGCCGCAATGAGTGCCGGAAACTCTTTGCTGCCCCGGGCAGCTTACAAGCTCTCCCCCGAAGAGCAGGCCGCCAAGGATGCCGCCGAGCTCGTCAACGCCAAGCTCTCCGACTATCTCATGATCGTCTGCGGTGCAGTCTCGGTCGCCGTCATCATCTGGAAGGTCTGCGAACGCGTCATCAAGCTCACCCGACATGTTTCTTGCCTGCACAACGATAAGCAGCGCTACTTTGCCGTTCCTTCACCCAACGTTTCCGCTCTCAAGCGCCACCTGCTCTACGCTCCCGTCGTCAGCAAGAGACACAACCGCGAGATCCAACTCAGCCGCGCTATCAACGTCGGTACTCTGCCTACTCGATTCCAGCTTCTCTTCCTCATCGCCTACTTCGCCTCTAATGTCGCCTGGTGTGTCGTCGACATCCCTTTCGATGGTGAAATGTCGGCGGTTGCCGGTGTTATCCGCAACCGAACTGGTGTTCTCTCAACTGTCAACATGGTATGGTTCTCTTATCAGCTCTATGAAGCATCTGGGTCAATAAATCATTGATCTTGGCTTGTGTGGCATTCTGGAGTCTGTGGCTGACTGGATATCAGGTCCCCCTTTTCCTCCTAGCTGGACGAAACAACCCTCTCATCCCGCTCTTGAACATTTCGTTTGACACTTACAACTTGATTCACCGCTGGTTCGGCCGTATTGTCATTCTGGAGGCTGTTGCTCACACTCTTGCCTACTATGCCGGATCAGGCTGGACGTTCACTGTTCCTTCAGGCGCTTTTATCCTCCCAGGATTCATCGTCAGTCAGCCCCACCTTGAGTGAGAACTGATTATATGTCAGTTTGTAGCCAGCTTGATCAAATTACTTACTCCTATCAGGCCACCTGCGCCTTCGTTTTCCTCGGTATCCAGGCCTCCAGCCCGCTTCGACACGCCTTCTACGAGACCTTCAAGCTTCTCCACATTCTCGTCGCTATCACCGCCGTTGTTGGCCTGTACTACCACCTTGTGGCCAAGGAATCTCTTTACCGATGGCTCTGCTACCTGTATTCCGCCATCGCCCTTTGGAGTTTCGACCGAACCTGGCGTCTGTGGCGTATCATTCGCTCTCACGTTGGTGGCTCACGCTCTAGGACCGTTATCGAAGCACTCCCCGGAAACGCTGTTCGCTTGACCATGACTCTAGCCCGCCCCTGGAATGCCAAGCCTGGACAGCACGCCTACCTCTACATCCCATCGATCAGCTTGTGGCAGTCTCACCCTTTCTCGGTTGCCTGGTATGACGGTGTCGATGACCCTAAGAATGAGAGGCTGGCGAGCACGAACCAGGATCTGCTGGCGATGCAGCAGCAGCGAGTCTCCTTCATCATCCGTGCCAGGACCGGAATGACCAACACTCTGTACCAGAAGGCTCTCGTCGCCCCCGGTGGAAGATTGGAGACTAGTTGCTTCGCCGAAGGCCCCTACGGTGGCCACCACTCGTTCGACTCTTACGGTACCGTGGTTCTCTTCGCCGGTGGAGTAGGCGTCACCCACCCTGTTCCCTATATCAAGCATCTGGTCAATGGATACAACGAGGGTACTGTGGCAACTCGAAGAATCTTGCTCGTCTGGACAATCCAGACCCCTGAGCACCTCGAGTGGATCCGCCCCTGGATGACTGAGATTCTGGGTATGGAAAAGAGAAGGGATATCCTCCGAATCATGCTCTTCGTCAGCCAGCCACGATCTACCAAGGAAATCCACAGCCCTTCGTCGACTGTGCAGATGTTCCCGGGACGGCCTAACATCAACACGCTGCTGGGTATGGAGCAGGAGCATCAAGTTGGTGCCATGGCTGTCACCGTCTGTGGTCCCGGTGCTCTGAGCGATGAGGTCCGCCTTGCCGTGCGGAACCGCCAGGACCGATCCACCATCGACTTTGTCGAAGAAGCGTTTACGTGGTAAATGAATGAGCAGGCGAACGGTGTTGGGGAGTTTGATGTCTCTGCCAATCAGTTAAAGTTCCCCGACGAACGGTCCTCCAAACTATCGAGCTTGTCGAAGCTCTCATTTCTCAGCTCAAGCACTTGCACGTGTTTGAGATCTTCTTGTCCATCTGGGACGTCTTGCTAAGCAAGGATCAATTATCAGATCAATTCTCATGTACTTGTACTTTTAGATCGAGGTGTATATACGCTCTTTTGCGGACCAGCTATAAGGCTAATGGGCACTCCCAACGTGGAATGATTGCTTTATTCGTATCACTTATGGTCCTAGGTATTGTCTGTGATGTTTCGACGTCGAATGTGCAGGGCTTGTCCACGTTGCACCAGTTGCGCGCCGGTATTTCGTGGAGGTTGGGCTCGATTCCTCACGATTATTGGAATCCGAGGTGTAGCTTAGTTGCATCTTGGTGCGTCATTGCGTGGTTCGCGTTTCAAACGAGACTGGATGACGACGCGCATTGATACCCGAGACGGTGAGTGTGTTGCTTCTATCCTTGAAGCTCTCACTCACGATAGTCACTTGTGACCAATGAGTCGGCAGATGACCCAATCTCCAACTCTGTCCTGCCTTGACTCAGAAACATTGATCACTTGACCATCCCGTCGGCGCTAAGGACATCCAAGCATAGGTCCACCGTCAAGCAGCCACAAGTCGGGGCGGCATGCAGCAGAGCTAGGCACTGCGTCTCGGCGACTCAGCTGAATGCAGTGAAGTCAACGGCAGTCAGCTCGGAGAAGGGAAAGGGGCTGACATAGAGTGCTCAGCTGGCACGCGGGCAAAGAAATAAATGAGACGCGAGAGTATGAAGAGATTTACCTAACTCCTTATAAATATAAGTAATTAATTTAGATAAAAAATTAAATAATAATATAATAATAAGGAGATTTTTTATATATTTTTATTATTATTTATTAAATATATTTAGAGGAGAATTAATTATCATACTCGTCCTCGTGTCTTATTTTTTCCTTGACCCATGTGGCTGGTCAGTAACATGCTTGGGAGTTCCCAAAAGGTCAGCTGTGAGTTGAGAGGTGGCTGGGAGACCCGCTCAGTGGTCCCTCCACCTCCCGCATCAATGTACATTGGCACTCCAAAACGAGCACTGAATCGGAAGTACCTCTTGGTGTGGGCATGCATTCAGTTGCGAGAGCATGCAACTAACGGGGGTAAGACCTCCGCATTCGGGGGCCAGACTAATACCATGCAAGCCTCGGCCGCGCCTCTGGAGCCTGGACCAGGCAGTCTCTCATGGGACCTCAGGCAGTGCAGTACGTACCTGTGCTCCCAGAGCTTATCAGCTCCCCCGTCTTTGTTCCACCAGTGGTCGATCCACGCTACCTACCTCTCCCATTCATCCATCCATCGTCAATCTCCCATCATCTCTTGACAAGAATCAACCACAGAATCTTGGCCGCCCTTTGCAGGCCGCCCCTTCATCATGGCGTCCAGAAGCCTTATCCCATTTCTCGTAGCCATGATGCTACTCACGGGTGTTTGCAACACCCTGTTGACCAAGTATCAGGTATGACGACATCAGCATCCGGCCTCGCCGCACGCGAAGAGCTCCCATTCACGACAGCTTGGCTGACTGTGCATAGGATAATCAATGTGTCCGTAACTGTGATCCCGATGACAATCCGAGAAAGCGCGCCTTCTTCAACCAGCCCGTTCTGCAGACGGCGCAGATGTTCATTGGTGAGATGGGCTGTTGGCTCGTCGTCGGTCTCATGGCTCTTTGGCGTCGGTTCACCGGCACCTCATCACCAACGGAACGAGGCTACCAGGTAGTCGATACGAATGAAGATGACGACCCTGCTCCCGATGTCGAGAGCAATGATAGAACAAAGCTGCTTAACAACGGTCGGTCTATCCTCAAGGGTCATCGGATCCTGCTGCTTGCGCTGCCTGCGATTTGCGATATCTGCGGAACCACCTTGATGAATGCTGGTCTTCTCATGGTTGCTGCCTCTATATATCAAATGACCCGAGGCGCCTTGGTCCTGTTTGTCGGACTGTTCAGTGTGGTCTTCCTCAAGCGCCACCTCCGCCTCTTCCAATGGCTCTCTCTGGTCGGTGTCGTCCTGGGAGTGGCAGTTGTTGGACTTGCTGGTGCTCTTTGGCCTGATGAGAAGCCAGAGCAGTCCATGGACGGTCCTAACGAGGACTCTGTCACAGACGGCGGCCTTTCTGATGCGGCCAGGGCTGTCATTGGCGTTCTGCTCATTGCCGGCGCCCAGATTTTTACGGCGACCCAGTTTGTGCTCGAGGAATGGATCCTGGAGAACTCCCCCATTGAACCGATTAGGGTCGTTGGCTGGGAGGGCATTTTCGGCTTCACTGTGACAGTCCTGGCCATGGTCGTCCTGCACGCGGCCATCGGCTCCACCCCCGCCGGCCGGTACGGCTACTTTGACATGGTCGAGGGCTGGCACCAGATGATTGGAAACAAGAAGATCTTGCTCTCGAGCATTCTCATCATGATTAGTATTGGGTAAGCAACCTAATATTTTCCGTTGATAGACTTGTTTAACTAACTGAACCCAGTGGCTTCAACTTCTTTGGTCTCTCGGTCACCCGGAGCGTCAGTGCCACCTCTAGGTCGACTATTGACACTTGCAGGACTCTGTTCATTTGGATCGTTTCGCTTGGCTTGGGCTGGGAGACGTTCAAGTGGCTCCAGATTCTCGGATTCGCCCTGCTTGTGTACTTCACCTTCTTGTTCAACGGCATCGTCCAGCCCCCTTTTGAATTCTTGAGGGTGGAGGAGGAGATCGAAGAGCTTCTTCCCGAGGAGCCGATTGAGCACCGCTGAAGTCATGCTCGCCATCATAGATTGGTATGATAGACCGGCAACATCGGATCGGCTTCCTGGATACGGCATTTGCATGTTTGGATCGGCGCATTGGGAGTTGGATATTGGTGTGAATTGGAGGAGCTCAATGTAACCACCAGGGATAATTTACTTGAATCAAACCACTGAAATAAACGTACAAACCCCGTTCGCCATACAAGTGAAAGCAATGCTGTTCCATCCAAAAGAGACCCAAACACCGATAGGACCCAGAGACGACGCCACAATAGCAAACCTGAGTCCACAATCACGCCAGCGAAACCCCTCGCTTACGGAGGATCCATCAAGTGACATTGCAAAGCAGCTCAGCCTCGAGGATGAACTTGCCCTCTTTGTACTTTTCGGAGGGCTCATAGGCCTTGTCATACTTCCACCCGACGGTCTCCTTACACTGCCGGCATGTAATATCGCGAACGACGTGTCGGCCGGTCGTCATGTTGCGCTCGTTGGGGGCGCCCGTGTCGATGTTGACAACGCTGTGGAAGAGATACGCTTTACCATGCTGACCACGGAAGTTCTGCCCTGATGTTAACAAGTCCTGGCTCCGAGGGAAGAAGCCCGGCGGTGGGCTGGCCAAAGGGGGCCCAGTGCATACTCGACTTATGATATCTTCGTGGTTGGCGAGGTGCGCCTTGCACGTCTTGCAGCCATAGATTTTGGCGCTGTTGAGATAGGTGTTGTAAGCCAGGCCCATGATGCGGGGAGGGCCTGCGGTCGGGAAGGGCGATATCGGTTTCGAGTGACGGCGGGCAGCGTGGAGACGCTGAAGATGGTTCTAAGATGATCGCGAGGGTTGAAGAGTTTTGGGCGAAGCCTTTCGGGGGGCACGTTTGCGGCTAGAGCTGGTGATGACTGACCAAGGCAGGTCAAAGGTTAAATAGAGGTGAACGGTAGGTGGGTGCAGCGGGTAACATGGAGCGCGTCATGAGGCCGGAGGTGGCAGGCACGTAGCTCCGTGAGGCGGGGCCAGCGTATCGGACATCGGTGGGGGCCGAAAGATGGTGATAGGAGAGAGATCACCCAGCTGAAGCTTTTTGTTCAACGTGAAAGGATGCCTTGATAGTTACCTTGATTAATACTATGAGCGTCTAGATTTGTTTATGGGCATACTCAGCGGCACTATATTGAGTCTGCTGACGGGATGTCGAGGGCAAGATCGCCAATCATGGCTTCAGCTGGTCATACGTTATCTAACAGAAGGGCATCACAACCTACACGAGTGCAACAACATGTAACGGACTGGATCTTCCATGTTCATTTTCTGATCTATTTGGTGCACGACACATTCATGTCTGCTATCGACATGTCGAGCTACCTAACCCAAACCCCTTGCGTTCAACCAACTAAACAATACTGTGTAAATGCTTGCGTAAAACATCTGAAGCGACAACTACCTACCCAAATGATATGACAATGTGCGCCTACGCCATTTCGGACACGCTTTTCCAAAAGAGATTCACTTTTTGGCCTTCTTCTTTTCCTTCTCCGCCAAGTCCTTGTCCTTGATGTTGTTGAAGTGGAAAACGCCCCTTTCGCGATCCTCCTGCAGCTGCTGCATGTCTTTCTCGCTGATGGGGATTCCCTCGATGCCCTTGACCTTCTTTCCTTCAATAAACATCACGATTCCTCCAATAGCGGCGACGATGCATGCGAGTGCCACGAAGAGACCAGTGGACCAGCTAGGACGGTCATATCGGCTCAATCCCCACATGAAGCCGGCCAAGACACACTGGAGGAAGGTATTCCAGACCATTAGCCAAACGACGGCATCCATCTTCCAAATAGGCGTAGCGGGGGCTCGTCGACCAGTGAGGGGAGCGTCCGGTATCTTATCCTCGGGGAAGGGGACAGAGATGGATGAACATAATTCGGGCAAGCTGGAGACATTCTTTGGTCCGATGCTAACATCAACATCCTCAGAGCCTGGAAGTCGGAACCATCCTCGGTGAATACCACCCAGGCGGCGGAGCGCAACCGTATCGTTCTTTACTCGGTATTGGAGGAGGAAGTAGAGATCGCGAAATCGCCAGGGAGCGAGCCCAAAACCAGTAACACAGAAAAGGGCGTTGAGGATCTGCGAATCCCATTCGATCCATTTTCGTCTGGGTGAGTTGATGTCGTTACAAGTTGGGTGACACATGGCAGGAGAGGCGTTGCTGTAATCGATTAGCGCTTGTTTGTTATGAAGTTGATGATGTACATACCAGAGGAGAAGGAAGAGCATGCCTCCCCAAGCCACAACGTTCAAGCCATAGATGGTAACACAGAAGCCCAGAGGCGTAAGGAAGTAATTCCAAAAGGCGATCAACCCGGTCTTCGTCGACTGAGCAAACGTATGCTTGGGAGGGAAATGGTAGCCGTTGGGGAACGCCGCGGTAGCATCGGGTTCCCCATCTCTCTTCGTGGATGCAGCACTGGTGCTGGCCTTTTCCTCAGAGGTCGCCTCTTCGTTGACGACGGGAAATGTGCTTTGTCTCGATGGACCGCCGGCGGCGGGACCAGATTGCATTGGTATGGACGTCTCCGAGGTTCTGCGTGGCGCGGCCTGACGAGTGAAGATGGAAGATGCGATGGTTCCCGTCGCGGCCATGAAACCCTCAGGAGGGCCTGATACTTCGAAGCTCTGAGAGACGCGACGAAGGCGTCCGCTTAAGGATGAAGAGGCAGCTGGTCGATTCTCTACAGGCGACGGAGGATCTGTGTTGTCTGAGCGTGGCGACGTCTCGTCGATGGTTGGAAAGGGCTCGGTTTCGGTTTCGGTCCCGTTATTGGACGGCCGTCTCGGGGGCGCCATAGTGGCGGTGCTCTCTTGTCACCTTGGCCACCTAACGTAGCCAAGGCTGGGCAGTGTAAGTAAACGTACGCGAAACGATAAACTTTTGGCGATATGAAGAAAGTAAAGGCGACAGCTGGAGATGCAGCAGGAAAGGCAAGAGAGGGAATGGAGGTCGTGATATGATGAAATGATGCGCTCCGCACCCAGCAACGGGGAACTGGGTCAGTTTTAAAGGGCGATGCTTGCAGTCTAATCCGCACTACTTGCGTACGCGGGCCAGGTACTTTGCGACGACTCTCGGTGTCGCTGATAACGCCAAGCCGGTGGGCACCAGGAAAGTTTAAAACGGGGGTGGCATCGAGGCCGAGGATTCGATCAGTTACTTGACAAGTAGAACACGCGGCTCAAAGACCAGGATTTAATTGGAAAGTGAAGATTCGGCTCTCAGATTGCCGCTGGGAGATTCCGTGTCAGGTCACAGCAAAGTACTCTCCCCACCGGAGTCAAGTACCCTTCAGACCCGTAATAAAAAAGCCAAATTTCGCAAGCCCTCGATCTGCATCAGTCTCGCTTTTTTACGCGTATTATATTTTGACTCCGACAGACCTCGCTCGCATCCACCATTCGTTTGTCAAATTCTCACACCAGAGGACCCAGTATCTTTCTCTCTTAACGGCATCTCCGACTGCTTCGCCCTCTTCCACGTATTCAGCAAAACTTGGTCCATTCAACTCGCGGATTGTTTGCTTGGCTCACTTGGCACACGTCGCATCACCGCATGAAAAAATACCCAGCCCAGCATGGATCGTTCAAGTGACCCGGTTGCCAACGTCACCTCGACCGCCTTATTCAACCTCGAGCATCAGCATGATTGGGCTTCTCTCAAGGTTCATGATACTACGGGTCGCCGGCCCTTGATCAGGGGCTTGCCTCCTCGTCGGCTCTACACTCACCCTGACGACCAGATTGCTGCCCTTGACCGCGAAAAGGCGACAGGAGAGGCTGTTGACCAGTCACCAGAGTTGGAGTGGGTTTTGGCGGTACATCCCGAGGAGACTTGGACAATCAAAGCCTTTTCAGAAATCTTTGATTCTATCGAAAACACCGGTCCTCGCGAGAAGAGGATCGTATTGGCGACGGTTCACAACGATTCCACTGTCGTCTACTACATCATGCATGAGGGCATGGTTAAGCCAAGACAAAACTGATATTGTCGTTCCTTTCCATCCTCTCTCACCTCTCAGGGGGTGAAGACCACCTTTTGGGTCTTGCGCTGCTCGAAAAGGGTGTATCCTTCAGGCGCCTGTGAGAGGGGCATGACATGTTCAAACATGAAGCTATCATGATTAGCTTGGGAACGATTATATCGACAGTCGATGGAGCACAAACCCAATAAGGTCTTGCTTCTGCTCGAGAAGCTTAAGAGCTTCAGGGAAAACGCTTCGGACAGGACACCGGCCCATCTGTAATCGGATGTTCTTCCTACATCACGGTTAGCCTGGTACCCTTTCACGGCGACGGCTACAGAGGTGGCCGTGAAGTTGGGACAACTTACGTATATGCGTCGTCTCCCGTCCACGGAATCTACACAAATCATCATCAGTTCACTGTTAGACCAACGTCCTGAGCCGAAGCCGTACCTCCTTGTTGTGGACGCCAATGCTGCTAATGGCGCCGAAAGGTCGCACAATGTCGAACGCTGTCCTCAACGCAGGCGATTGACCAACAACCTCAACAACCATATCAGCTCCGCGTCCATTGGTCACCTCCTTGATTCGAGCCTCCAGCCCAGCCCTGTCACTCTCGAAGTTGAGAGGCTCAGCACCAAGCTTCCGAGCCTGCTCCAGGCGACTCTCGACACTGTCGATGGCGAACAGATGACGGGGCTTAAAATGAGTAGCAGCTAGGATAGCACACAACCCAACGGGTCCGCAACCTATAACCACCATGGTAGCATCTTGAACATTCTGTGATGGGCAAAGCTCCATGGCGCTCTTAACCCCGTAGAACCCGGTGGGGAAGATATCAGCCATGAGGAGGAGCGCCTGGTCCGAGATGGTATCCGGAGCCTTCACGGCAGTCCCGTCAGCCATTGGGATTCGCACATACTCAGCTTGTCCTCCGTCGAGCGTTTCACAGCCAAACAGCTGGCTCTCGACACATCGGGCCGAGTAGCCGCTGTTGCAATAAAAGCAATTGCCGCTATAGATCCATGTTAGGACACCTCGGCAACACATCATGGCAGCATCAACTTACCAGGAAGCCGTGAATGGGGCGACGACTTTATCGCCAATCTTAATGGTCTTGACGGCAGGGCCAACCTGCACGACGGTCCCAGTAAACTCGTGCCCCATGATGAATCCAGTGTCGGAGGGCTGGTGGCCTCGATAGATGTGAAGCTCGCTATGAGTATAGGTTAGGCAGTTGTGGTTGGCAATCCATTGAGCACTCACGATCCGCAGAGGCCAGCGGCGTGTACTTTGATGATAATATCTCGGTCATCTCGGACTGGGTTGATGTAGTTAGTTAATAGTTGATACAGATATGCATAATAACTTGTGCTAGGGTCTGCGTGAAATGGAGTGGTTTTACCTTTGGGAACTGGCCGGTCTTGCACCGAGATTTTGTAAAGATCGTCAAAAACGACGGCCTTCATTGTTTCCGGGAGAGCCATGTTCGTAGCGGGAGTGAAGATATACCAATGTTTTACGATATGTAGTTGTTTCAATCAATGTCTCACAGGGATGAGCGACGTTGTCAAGCCCTTGAAGAAATTGAAGCCTCACAATCTCTCACAATCTCGGCGACGAGCTGAGCGCGGGGCAAGGCGTGGAGAGGTCCGCCATCGGCGCACAAATGGACGGCATTTGTCGGCTGCCATGGTGGAGAATATGTCGTACAATGAGCCGCAGGTAGCCTCTGTAACGGAGTCTTTGAGAATGGATGTCATACTGAGAGATAGACGGCAAAATGATGAAGGCATCACGGAAGAACGTTGGATAGTATACGAGCGTTGATACGATAATGCGTAGCGAATTTTCGGCGCCTGTCAGCGACGGGTAAGTTCAGAGGAATGAGCTTGATGGCCGCTTCAGGCACACCCGTGGCTGGAGCTAACGGCTGCCACCATGTTCGGTACATCATTGCTAATGAAATGAACTGCATGTGCGTACCCGAAGATGGTCTGCAGACGCAAGCTGATCTACAGAACACCGACCGATCATTTCCCTGGCCGTCCCTCGAGTTGGACGTCTCGTCAATCCCCAGACAATGCCGATTGACAATGGGATGCGATATGGATTCCAGCCACTCTGGGGTAACCGAGTCAGTCGCGACGTTGGACTTCTCGGTAGCTTGATTTAAGACCCGGGGCACACTCGAATTAGGTCTAGGCAAAGCAATTTCGCGTGCCCGACGAAGAACCTAATAGCCGCACAGGATGTCAACTGATGCCGCCCACATTCGGCATGTCTTGTGGGATGTCATTTCAAGAGGGGTTTAAATGACAAGAAGCGGGCGGTTGATCAAGGACTTGACACGACCCAGACATGGAACCTGGGCGAAGAAGCTGGCTGCGACAGAAAATATTGCAGGCAATCTCAACAATTTCCTCTGAAGAGCTGAAATCTCCCGCGGCCGGCAAGGCAATGGGCGGTCGGTCACCCAAGCTGGGATGGCAAGGGTGCGCAAGATGGGAACTTCGGGATGGGGAGCCGCTTCTGTGGGTGGTTTGTGGAGTGCCCAATGACGGGCCAGCGCTTTCGCTGTGTCTGCAACTCGACAGGTCCCTGAACGCTGTACAGTGTGAATGACGTATGACAAACAGTACGACAGATACCCCACAACACACCCTCGATCCACTTCCCCTCGTCCAGAACCCACCGTGCGGCTGGGGCAGACGGTGGAGACGTGTCTCTGGGGTCCTTGGGGGTGGGCCAATTGGCGGATGCGCTGTTCCTCTCGACGGGACAGTCCGCGAAGGGCGTTGGGTGCGCGACATAATTTCGAGTCAAAATGGGCAGTGGTTATCAAGCGGCTCTTTTGTCCCGTCGCCGACAGATCAGATGGGATGGCATGGGATGGATGGTGTGTGGGTTGTCACGCGTGGAAGAAAAAGCACAGAATGCGCGCTCCGTACGGCCCGAGGCTTGTGAGCCGCAAAGGGTTCCGCCATGACGCGCGCATCATCGGGGAAAAAGGAACATCAGCAGCAGATAAACGAGAGGACGAGAAACGAGGAGCAGGAAAAGCGGCTGAAGCAGGAATACCTACCTACCTACCCAGCCCACATGGCATCGCGCACGCATCACACACACACTCGCGCGCGCACACCCGCACACACACATGTCGACACGGCAGTGGACGTTGAGGCTTAGACGATGACCCTGGTGGGGAAGAGAGGGGGGAGGCCTCGGCGGATGCATCCATTGCTCCATCCGCTCGATTGCCCATTGCTCCATTTCCCCATTGCTCATGGCTCCCTTGACCCATTCTCTGCATTCAAAAACACGCAATGCTCGGGGGGTCGAGGTCATTTCTGCCCTGCCCTGAATTATCAGCACAGCGCAGCACTGCTGGAGAGAAGACGCCGGGCGGATAAGGAGTTCCGTGTAACCTTGGTCGGCGACACCACGAGATGGGTGACAGACAGTCCCGATGGGATCACTCGCATCAAGTCGCTTGACGCCTGCGAGGTCGGTCAAGAAAAAAAGAGATTGACTGGACGCGGAGAAGGGTCATTTTAGGGACAGGCCCAATGATGCACAAGCTGTACATAACCAAGCTAGCGTCCTCAGGTCGCCAGCACTAGACTAAACGCTCGACGACAACCAGACAGACACTGGCAGAGAAGTACCGCTGTCTGTCGGCCCTCTTTCCCTCCCCGGCCGCAATAACAGCAGAGCCCCATCCGGGGACCCCCTGCTCTCAGCCGACCTACCACATGTTACAGATAGCCAAGGGCCGAATTACCACCTTTACCCCATCCCCATCTTCCATCCATCATCCATCCAAGTCGACGCCCCAGCCTTCTAACCTCCCCGGGACCCCAGCCCCGGCCAAGTCCCTTTCTTCCCACTTTCCAATCCTAGCATCAAGCCGCGGCGCAGGCACAAAGCGGTCGAGTACGTAAAGTGCTGTAGGTAATAGTTAGTCTCTGGCACTGTACCACCTGCGCAGGAAGGTACAGTAGTGGCAAGTGCTTCCTCTAACTGCTTCAAACCCCGTAATCTGGTGTCAAGTCAAGGAGTGGAGGCATACTCCATATCCAGTAGCATGCGAGAGATAGGGCTCCCAGGAACAGCGAAATGCACTCACTTCCCCCGTATTTACTGTGCTCTCCCCTCAAATTCGCCTCGTACACGATCCCGCCTGTCAACGCGCCTCATCTCACCCACACTGGTCGTCGGCCATTCACCTCGATACCTCAGGTAGGTACCTACAGTACCCCTTCGCTCACCTTGTTCCGTGGATTCGCACCTACAGGTCTTGGCGTTAGCATTCACTGCCGCCTGGTACCTATTTCTCGTTCAACATTCGCGCTTGACTTGCCCTGCCCCATCTCACCATCCCATTCCACTCCATTCCGAAGACTGTTGGATACCCTCTGAATTCCCCTCTTCACAGCCATCGCGCAAACGTACTTGAAATGAGCAGCGGTTTAATAAAGGGACAGTTTCCGAGATAGTGCGCATATTCACGAGCATGATAATTATACTCTTCTCTGGTCGACACCTCTGACACTATCGCGTTCCGCCTCAAATTCACCGCATTACACCGCAAATCAATCGTCTTTGATTCGGCGCTTATAGTATCTCTCATCGACCGTCGCCTCGCCTATATATTTTCGATTCGCATCTGCGGAGTCTGTCTCAATCCTCTGGCATCGCCTTGGACCGCCTCGTTTTACCCGCTCTATCGCAAAAGACGTCGGCCGCTCGCACAAGGCGAACCAGTACCGATAGTTCGCCTGCCTCTCGCCACGCCCTTCCCTTCGTCAACCGCTAAACTACGTACCGTGGCTGCGTCTTCCGTCGACCGATCGATCCATCGTTCTGCAGCATCAGCACAGTTGACATCGCCCTGGTCCGATAACTGCACTTGAGCGCCGCCCGCGACACCATCTCCGGCGCGAGATCCGACTCGCAAATATCACCACCTACCAAAAATCCCGAGCGAACCCGCCTTCCTGTGCCTCACGCTTCCCACCCCGTGAGGGGCCATGGCGAGTTGAACGACCGCCGTCGACGCGACAACTATGACCACGGCCACGCAGCACCAGCAGCACCAGCCATCACAACCACAATTTGGCTTCGTCGTCGACACATACGACCCGGATGAGGTTGTACCTCGAGGCAGCCCCCTCATGGCCCCGCTTCGTCCCAAGCTCGAACCCTCTCCGAGTCCTCCTCCAGATATACCTCCAGCTCAAGTCAGTCTGAGTCCTACCTTCATCGACGGTCGCGGCAAGTCTAATCGGCACAAGGTTCGCCCTACATCAGGGGATGCTGTCTTGGTAGCTTATCTCGGCAACGGGCGCGATCCCGATGTCGCCCGTCTTGCTGGAAGCGAAGGCCTGGCCGCCGAAGAAGAAAGCTTCGACGAGGAGCTGCGTCAAGAGAGGCCTGTCGATAATAGCGCGATGAACCAACCCGCACTTCGGCATCTTGCTGCAGGTGCTCTTCAAGCTGCTCAAGCTGCTTCGCTTGTCCCGATATCACCCTCAGCTCCTAGATCGATCGCCGATATAACCGGATTATCCATTCACGATGAATCCCCAGCAGGAGGCACGCACGCGGCATATGTCTCTGTTCCTCGAGTCACCTCACCCCACCTAACCTCAAGCGGCCCGCTCCCTCCGCTTCATAGCGGGTACGTTTCGCCTGGAGAGTCAAAAGAGTCTCTTCCGTCTCTCCGCTCAACTTTGGGTGAAATTAGGGATCTTGGACCTGGTCGTATACCCGAGAAGGACCTTGCTGCCCCTTCAGGGCCAGCTACATCCTTTCCTGCGTCATCGCCAGGTGGCAATCTTCATCGGTTCAGTTTACCCGCTAACCTTCCATCATCTCCCGTTTCACCACAAGATGGCTTCCGGACCCTCTCCCCACACTCAACAGGCCCTTCAAGTATACACTTCCACGCCGCGAATAATACGCATGGGCGCCCTGCAACCGACTACAGCAGTAGTAGCAATGCCGGCGAGACACCGAGCACCGATCATTCTGTCTCAACCCCCGCTACCTCTACCTCTATTACCGACCGCATGAGCATCGATGGGATCACGAATCCCCAGCCTGCCACAGGAACAGGAGCATACGTCTGCAATTTTGCGGGGTGCACAGCCTTGCCCTTTCAAACTCAGTATCTCCTCAATTCTCACGCAAACGTTCATTCATCCGCACGACCACACTATTGTCCAGTGAAGGGGTGTCCGAGAAGCGAAGGGGGCAAAGGATTCAAGCGCAAAAACGAGATGATCAGGCATGGATTGGTTCACGATTCCCCAGGCTATGTGTGCCCATTTTGTCCCGATAGGGAACACAAGTACCCTCGTCCAGATAATCTACAACGGTATGTTGCCTCACGCTAAGTTGACATCTTGATGATGCTCTGTGTTTTGAGTAAAACTAATTGGATCATTCTAGGCATGTTCGTGTCCATCATGTAGATAAAGACAAGGACGATCCGTTGCTGCGAGATGTACTCGCCCAACGACCAGACGGTCCTAATCGTGGCCGGAGAAGACGCGGACCGCCATCATAGCACTGGGATCCGAATGCCGTTCTCGATTGCCCGGGTTCTGCCCGTCTGAAGACAGACGAGATTCTTATTCCCTTGCATTGTATGAGTATACGTTGATGATTCATGGACTGGATGAGCAACGGCTTGTGGACGTTGCCGGACGATCTCAAGGTGATGTGGGCGGAGGATTCAAGACCAGGCGTTAAGGATTTCAAATACCCGGTTGGGTCAGGTTTCATTGATTTCGACATTCATGGAGTATCATATTGGCGCCTAAGAGGCGTCGGATTGAGGTAGCACATAGTATATTCCAACCTTGACACGCACGACGTGATTTTCAGCAGTCATCCTACCAATATGCAGTCTTTTTTTGGTAACCCTTAGTACAAATAGTAGCCAGTCTGCTCGACCGTCATCTACAGAGCCGCTGATCTCGTTATCATATGTTTAGACAAGCTCCCAACGGCCAACATTGACGGGTGCATCACTGTGCAGTTCCAGTTCAATACATTCTCCGACCTGGCTTGTGCCCATAGTCTCAACCATTAGCCACATACCCTCTCGCTGCAGTCGGGCAGGCTCCATATCAAGTTCAGGGGTTCGCACCACTGACTTGAGTTCTTGATATTCGCCCTCGCCAGAAACGGCGATGGTGGTTCGCTCTGGTGCCCAGCCATGCACCACAGAGAGTCGGACCATGAGTGTGGACGAGGGCCGACTGCCAGGGTCTAGGCTTGTCTGGATAACGCTTCGTGCGGTCACACTCATACGGGTCAACCAGGACACTGATAACTGCGCCCGCCTGACCTCTTCTCCGTCTGACAACTGGAACGGTGTCAAGGTCTTGCGTAGTCTTCCAGCAGCGTCGGCAGGGACAGGCTCGAGTGTCACGGGCGTCATGGAAGAGATCCTAAGGGCAAAGTCGGCAAGTTGACCTGCATCGAATGTCGAGCACACCAGGGTGTACTCTCCAGCATCGACGTGGGTGATATTTGCCACTGCGCAGCCCCTGCGATACTCGCCAGATGAACCTGTGATGTCTCGAGCCTTGAGCGTCTGAACTCGTTTCCCTTTAGCCCATACTAGGTCGACGTGGACATGAACGTCTTGCATGTCAGTTGAGAGCAAAATGGAGAGAGGGCTCGCCTGGGCAAGCGACAACTTGAATTGGGGGTTCGTTCCGTATGTCGTGCATGCTGAGTTGCCACCTGCGGTTCTTCTGGTCCACGAGCCTGTAATCTCCTTTGTGTGCGTCATTGCGTCACCCGCCTCTTTGACCCTCAGCGGGTCTTGTGAGAAGAATGAAAGGGTGAGGGTATACTCTGGAAGAGGAAACTCGTGCTGGTCAATGACGATTGTGTATCGTTTCATCGGGCTTGCATCCAGGCGTGCCAGTGTCTGGGGCGAGTCCACGTATGGCCCCCGATATAGATCACCATCACTCACTTGCACTCTGTGACCATTGTTGTCGAAGATTAGGATGCTCATGAACCCGAGCTGCCCGGAGACTGCCGCCATAGTGTCGGTCCTGTTTCGAGCAATTTCCAACTCGGCATCCATGAAGTGACGGCTGACAAGAATCCAGACCTCGCCACCTTTGGGTGACTGCAGTGAATATTGGGGGTTGTGTACCAATGAAGAAGCCAGCTTTGGAGATGGCATTTTCCAGTTGAAGTGGTGATCTTGGCGTTGGGCGAAGCGCCTGGGGTTCCAGTTCAGATACATGGACTCAAAATGTTGGACGACATCCTCAAGAGACATCCAGAATGAGCCAGCTGCGAGAGGAGAGTTTGCGGACTCGGGGTCGGTTGGCTGCACGGTCGAATTGTCGGTAATGGAAGCGTGATAAGCACCCCCTCTCCAGACCGGGCCATTACACCAGGGATTCTTGACCAAGAACCTTCGACTATCACCAGCGACGTCGAGATCCATGACGGCGTAATCGTGTTCTCCGATTAAACCCAGAATATCCTCCTCTTCAGATGAGATACGTCCAGTACCCAAAGTGACCACGACATCTTCAGAGTCGTGAGCAGCCTTGATTCTCTCCCACACTGAATTGATATCGAGATCTTCCCTATGAAAGCGTAAGTTGGAGTTTCTTAGTGAGCTATAGGGAGGGGAGAAGAGATATAAACAGTTGGAGTTAATGCTAACCTTTGAAGGAAGAGCTGTTCAGGAATCCATCCTGTGAGCACCCATAGATCGGTGCCCGAATTACTCCCTGGGAAGTCATAACCTCCTCTCACTTTGAGATAGGCCTTTTCTAAAAGTGCCGGCCAAATGAGCTGAGGGTTGCGTCGGTCAACAACGTACAAGGTACGGTCAGTCGTCGAAGCTGGGAGACGTTCATCAATCACGACACGACGGAAGCAACCGTTGAAGTGCAGTCGAAGAACATATCTGCCAGAAGGAGAGAATTTGGGGATACCCTTGGCTTTGTTAAAGGGAAATAGGACGGATGATAGGACCTAGTGAAGCTGGTTAGCTCCAGTAAAAGATATTCGAGTCCAGCAACTTTACTGAGTTTCGACCAGTTAAAATGCGCATGGCAGCACAGAGACTAGCAACGACGGAACAATCGGTAGTCATGTCTTGAACCAGGTCGCAGCCATTTTCCGAGTTCATGAAGATCCCACCATCTGCCCCGCCATCTTCATAAAGCTCTCGTGGGCGTTTCCACCCACCGAAAGTAGCGGCCTGCCTGGGTGATAGTGTGAAGGTGGATTCGTCACTGAATTCGGGTCAGTATTATTCGGGTCTAGGGTGGCTGGAGACGCAGCCTTACGTGAAGGGTTCATCGCCCGAGGGGAGTGAAAAGTCTTTTTCAGTAGGCTCTGCCGACCAGGGAGGGAAGTAGTTGCCATGAAGCCGTGAGGTTCGCTGTAGGATACTGGGCGGCTGTGTGGGCTGGTGACCGGTGATTGCAGCCTTGAGCCTCTCAGCCTGAGTGATGAGTTGCTGGCATTTCAGCCGCAGACGTGTAGCATCTCGTTTGGTGGCGGCCTCTCCAGCTGCTCGCATGTATAGATCAACCGCTTGAATGGCATAATCGAGGGCCGCTTGGCCACTCGATGTTGCGATGAGAGACTCAGCAGCCTGAAATGAAGTTAGTCGGATGACGTTGGTGCTGGTGTAGTGGTAGGTTGCCGTAGAATGTACCCGGCTATAGGAGCCGGGGGCCAGGGTAAATAAAATCGACAAGTGCGGGTGCGGCTTACCTGAGCTCTCCTCTCCATCGCCGTTTTACTGAACCATGGCGTCCAGTTGCTCACAATACAAGCTCAGTCGACGTCTGAGCTGAGATCAGGCTCGAGACTGGAGAACCCCGCGGTGGGGCAGTTCGCTCATTAGGAACTGGCAATGGCTGAGCTGCCGTGTTCATAGCCCCCTTTTTTCTCCACCTGAGCTCCTTTCTTGAGAGGGCTCTCTTCCAACACAGACACAAGCTAGAGAGGACCACATGAACTCCTAGTTACGGAGCATTTTGTCTCGCGTTATGCAATAAGTATGTACTTAGGAGGCAGTTTGAGGTCATACAGACCAAAACCCATGTGATCCTAGCCCAAGGTAAGGACCAACTCAAACCTCAACGTCATGGATCAACATGGAACTGTTCGGTGATTCTCGGTGGACGACGAAAACCCAAAGGCTCCTTACATCATTCTTAGTTTGAGATTGAGCCACATCCGTATTCCCTCTGAGCGAGATGCACCGTTGTATGGCGTTTTCACAACCGCGGGTTCACCCCTCTAAGTCACTAACCGAGGTACCTATTGCGGGCCAGTCACGGGCGGGACGGGCCCCCGATTTGCCGAAACCGGTGCCAGATGAACCTCGGCCCCGGACCGGTCGCGGACCGCCCTATCTTTTGATAATGATGCCAGGGCCCAGGTGAACATCTAGTCTAAGCTCGCGACAGACACTGGTGCCAACTGTGCCTCTTCGTTGATCGAGGAAACACGTTCACCTGTCGCCCGCTTCAAGAAAAGCTTCATCACCGACCATCATGGCTGCGCAATCGAAGCCTACAATTTCCCCCTGGGGCCGCGCCGTGGCCGGGGCGAGTGGTGCTGTTCTCGCCAACGCGCTGGTATACCCTCTCGACATGTAAGTCGCTTTTCTGCCCCAAGCACGTCGCCTCGACTAACACCATCTCTGCGCAGCGTCAAGACTCGACTTCAAGTCCAGGTCCGTTCCGATGCTCTCAAGGGCTCTACCGACGCCGACGAACAACATTACAAGTCCACATGGGATGCGATTTCGCGCATCGCGGCCGAAGACGGAGTGAAGGGACTCTACGCTGGCATGAATGGTGCCCTGCTTGGTGTCGCATCAACCAATTTTGCCTACTTCTACTGGTACACTATTGTCAGGACTCTGTACTTCAAGTCGCGCGGGTCAGACGTGCATCCTTCAACACTCGTGGAGCTTGCGCTGGGAGCCATCGCAGGCGCCATCGCTCAGATTTTCACCATCCCTGTCGCCGTGGTGACGACACGTCAGCAGACAGCCACGAAGGAGGATCGAAAGGGCCTCCTCGCAACAGCGCGCGAGGTCATCGATGGCCCAGATGGTGTGTCGGGTCTGTGGCGAGGCCTGAAGGCGAGTCTCGTGCTTGTCGTCAATCCCGCCATCACCTACGGTGCCTATGAACGACTCAAGGATACCTTCTTCCCAGGCAAGACCACCTTGAGGCCAGCCGAAGCATTCCGTAAGTTTGCAGATTAGACGCACACAAGAGCTTCCACCTAACCATCTCTAGTCCTGGGTGCTATGTCCAAGGCTCTGGCAACGATTGCTACACAGCCGCTCATTGTAGCCAAGGTCGGCCTGCAATCTAAGCCACCTCCTGCTCGCAATGGCAAGCCTTTCAGCAGTTTCGTGGAGGTGATGAAGTTCATTATCCAGCACGAGGGTGTCTTAGGCCTCTTCAAGGGTATTGGCCCCCAGATCTTGAAGGGATTCCTCGTGCAAGGTATCCTCATGACCACAAAGGAGAGGTGAGTATCATTACTGCTCTTATTCATACGGAAGCTAACCCCATCTTCACACAGAGTGGAACTCATGTTTATTCTCTTCATCCGTTATCTCAAGTCTCTCCGCTTCAGTAAGCTGAGCAAGACTGCAGAGGCAACAGCTGCTTCCGCAACTGCGGTGGCGCACAGCGTCGCGGCCAAGCCAGTGACCACCACAAACTGAATAACAGGACCAGGGATGGTATTGGTGTTTGGGAGAATGGGCTTGGGAATAGAAACGAATGGTTGTATTTATCTCACTTGCTTCAAAAGAACGGGAGTAATGACCGTCCACTTGGATAGCGGAGAAGCACTTATTGAATTGCCCGCCACCTTTCTAGAATTTTGAGCGATAGCTAGCTTTTGAATGCCCAGTATAGGAGAACCATACCAGACCGTTTTATTCAATGGATGTGATGATCTATGCTCAGTAAACCTAGTTGCTCTCGCCATTGAGCAACGATGACCTGAACCTCAGACTGCATTCGGACCCACCAGGCATGGGTAGCCTCAGGCATGCACACTCAGACACTCATGTGAGCAGGGCACGCAGGGCAACTCAACCCACCTTATGTCAGCAACCTGCCCCACAACTCTTTCCGTCTAGGGCTTGTCATCAAGAAATCGCACACAAATCTGCCTTTCACTTCGCAACTCCGTGATCCGTCTCCGTCCGACACAGGGAAACTACAGCAGCAATGGCGAGTATGTGCAATCTGGGAATGAAGATGCTGGTCAATACTTGAATCGCTGACACTTTGCAGAGTCCAAGAACTCCTCGCAGCACAACCAGTCGCGCAAGGCGCACCGGAACGGGTACATTCTCAAATTCCGACTCGACGATGCGTTCAGAGCTGACCCCCGGACAGTATCAAGAAGCCCAAGACTTCTCGTTACCCCTCGCTGAAGGGCACTGACCCCAAGTTCCGACGAAACCACCGACATGCTCTTCACGGCAACATGAAGGCCCTGGTATGCCCACCACTCCGACCGAAGTCGAAAATATCCGTGCGAAGCAGCGAGCTAACAACCCTAACAGAAGGAGGTCAAGGAGGGCAAGCGCGAGAGTGCTTAAAATGTCGACAAAGGAAATCGGAGGCGTCATATTGGAACGATCCCAAGGCTCGGTTACGGTACACACACGATAGAACCTACGCAAATGGACGAAGGAAATACCATGCGGTTAGCCTGTTGAAAAGGTGGTTGATGCGAACATGTCCCGGCGAATAGCGTTGTGATGGTCCCGAGTCGACGGTGTTGCTATGTTTCCACGAACATGGAGGTAGACGAGACGGCATGGGTCTGTCTGAACTACTTAGCCCAAGCGTTGGTGCAAACCCGTGGTGAATTTTTCCGTGATGTCTTGCTGATGCCGTCTTTTTGTGCTTGCCATTGCCAATCTGTGACCAGGTTCGCGGGCGGTATCAGATGGTTCCGGGGCTGGTTCATACCCTGCTCTCGCTTCCACCGTCCGTCATCCAAGAACCACAATCATGAAACATCCGCTTAATTGTCCAGGATGAATGGCCGGGGTCTCTAGTTCGTCGTAAAGTTTAGGTACTCCGTACATCCGCAATGAATGCCAAATTTAGTATTGCCGACTTCTAAAAAACATCCAAGCCTTTGGCGATGACCCTTATCGAATACGTTAGTCTACAAGGCCGGGTTGTTGAATCCATTCTTGGCCCCCCCTGTCTCTGTTTCAGTCGAGGACTGCCGACAAGCCCCCGCTGCCACGTCTTCGAAAGCCTCAGGCAACAACATTCATTGGCCACGGCTTGGTTTGGCGTCGGTTCGCTTGGCCTTGAGCGGGCACCACCCCCTTAGGTAAGCACAGGGGCTGAGGCCTTCAATAGTCCAGGACGAACACGAACAGCCTCTGCTCCGACATCCCACTGTCCTTTGACGATATTATCGCTAGAGGACGCCGGTCCGTACTTTACTACGGCGGGATTTAATAAGGATATCTGTGGCCTGCCTGGAAGCAGACTTCGTCCCTTCTTTGCCCACCTGCATCGTTTAACTCGGTATGATTCTCCCCCTCTCCCTTCCGGCGGGCGCCTCTAAGTCGTACCAGACGGGCGGGCCTTCCCAACAGGGTGGCCCTTTGACAACCTACTGAACCAACCGCCTTTGCTAACCTCACCCGCAGCGCTGCTCTTCGCCGGCAGAAATGCCATAATTTGCTGCCTTACTTCAAGTCCAAACTCCTTTGAGGTCAGCCGGTCACTGCAGGAGTCGAGACACGATTCTTGTGTAACATCTTTGCTTGCCGCCGTCATCCACGAGTCTGCGCGCAACACCTTTTTTCGCACCGATCTCCCGCCGAGACCTTTCCGCTTCGATAATGCTCAACATGTCTGGAAACCACGTCATTGGAAACAGAAACAGCACGCCCGAGGCTAATACCGCCTCGACCCTGCGACCTCCCTCCTCCAGGGCTGTTGGCTCCGGCCATTCGCTTCGCGCATCTGCCGATATGGCTGCTCTCACCGGCCCATCGCCGGCCAGTCGCATCCGGCCCTCGTCGGACTTCTATGGCCAAGCCCAGCAGAGCCTGGGCCCAGGCAACGCAGAGTCCGATTCGCAGGACAAGATTGCACAGCAGTGGATCGCCGACATTGACCAGTACGAGACTACACTCGAGGAGATGGCTGCTGCCACCTTGGACCAGGATTTCAAGGACGAGCTCAGCGCCATTGAGCAATGGTTCCGCGTCCTGAGCGAGGCGGAGCGCACTGCCGCCTTGTATGCTCTCTTGCAGCAGACAACCCAGGTCCAGATCCGCTTCTTCATTCAAGTCCTCCAGCAGATGGGGAAGAACCATCCCATGTCAGGGGTCTTGTCCCCTGCAAGCTTCGACAAAGGTTTGTTTGATACCACGTCACCCGAATTGCGCCTCGACTGACCTTGAACGTCATGATAGACCCTATGTCCAATCGCCTTAGCGATGCCATGAATAAGCTGAATGTAGATTCCGCCCGCAATTCCATGTCGCGTAACTCGGTTATCGCGCCGTCTAACAAGCGACATTCGGGCCTGGACCCATCTACCATTAGCGCCATGTTTCCCGATGCTGCTGCCGCCATTGCTACCGAGAAGGCCAAGTTCACCCAGCAGACGGGTAACCCCCCGTCTTCGAACCGCAACAGCGCTGCCCTGGACCCCCGCTCGTCGATGGCTGCCCCGTCCATCAGCGCACCTCAGGACAACCGTGACGCTGGTCCTGTCAGCTCTCCTTCGCCTTGGAACAGCACCGGCAATGCGGATCAGCCAAGCGCCAAGGGCTCGTCCGCCCAGCCTCCCATGGGCCAGTTTGTGCAGCCGGCACCGTCGAGTGGTCTTCGTTCCCCCCGTCCTCAGCTGTCAAGCAACAACACAATTCAGAGCACGACGCTCACTGCGCCCGAGAAGAACCCTGCGGATCTGCCACTACTCTCCCCATACAATGCCAGCAGTGGCAACTGGGCCTCGATGGTGAACACTCCTATGACCGGTACCTTCAACACCGCCAACACCGGTGGAACACAAGCGGATATGGTTGCCAATGCTACTGCCATGAAGCTTGCAGCCCTTTCTACGGTCAACAACCGATTTGCATTGGATGACGTTCGCAAATACCGTCGCACTAGATCCAACGACGGTGCACCTGGAAATGCCCAGACCCCGATCTCTGCTGGTCCTCAACCTGGAATCAACCTTCCCAGCGCCAATGTCGTTATGATCAACGAACACGGCCAAGTCCTTAGCCGGGAGCAGCTCATGGCCCTCCAGGCCCAGCAGAGCATGAACCTGGGTGGCCAGCGCTCGAGACCCAGCTCCCCTGGACTTGCCTTGCAGACTGGATTGCCCCATATGGCTCCGTTTACTTCGCCGCAGAACAACGGTTTCCTGAGCGCTTATGATGGAGCTTCGCCGCTTATGAGCAATGGTCTACAGGCTGTCAACTTGGGAGGACTGAGTATGGGCGGTCACGAAGGCTACTTGTCGGATCATTCGGATATGGTCCGCGGACGATCCCCTCGTGGACGACGAGGCAGCTCTAAGCCTCCAGAGGACCCCACGGACCCATCTCTCTTGCAGGACATCCCAAGCTGGCTTCGTAGCCTCCGTCTTCACAAGTACACCGATAACCTGAAGGATATGAAGTGGACGGAGCTCATTGAGTTGGACGACAAGGCTCTGGAGGATCGCGGTGTCAACGCTCTTGGTGCGCGCCGAAAGATGCTCAAGGTCTTTGATCAGGTCAAGGGTAAGTGATTTCTAGAACATGCTGAGTCCAAGTCATGAACTAAACTGTATTGTAGAAGCCAAGGCCGACGGAAAACTGGGCTAGGACCACTGGTACCAGGCATGCAAACACGGAGACCTGCAAAAAATCAATGTGCTTTGGTCATCTTCTTTACAATATTGGGTGTTTTGTAGATTCCACGGCTTCGCATACGGACTGCGGGCGCGTGTGAATAGGTGGACGATTGTACTCGGATCAACTCTTATTTTGAACCATGAAAACTACGAGTTTCTACGAGCGATTATGTAGTAGATAGTAACGTCTTTTGTTTAATTCTGAATCTGTTTCAATGTTTTAATTCTGGTCTCAGATCTTTTGCTTAATTGACATGGCGTCCTCGTTGACCTCTTGGATTAGGTCCTCACGTGTTCTATAGCGGAGCCACAGCCTGCCGCCACAATAGCCACACGTTGTGCCTCAGGACTGCAAACATCTTTCACTCCAGAGCAAACCTTGAGAACAACCACCTTTCGCTTCCGCCACAAAGTTCGAAAACCGTATCATTACTGGTTTCGAATGGCTGCATCAATGAATCAGGACTTCATGGAGAGGTTGTTTACTGACTTGAAAAAGTAGTGATATGGGCTCTCATACTAACAGTTAGCAGGCAAGAGAGTGATGCTTCAGACGCGGACTCCGATTTGGAGGAGCTGGAGGGCGATATTGCCAAGTTCGACGAGACTGTTCGAGAATTCCTGGCGACTCAACGCGATGAAGTTGTTCCTTCAGGCGCGACTCGCGCAGGTTATCGTGGAAGAGGAGCTCGAGGCCCGCGAAAAGCTGCAAAACCACGAGGAGATATCACGGCACGTCTGTCCAAAGTGAATCAGGCCTTTCTTAGTGGTGAATACGATCGCGCTTTAGATCTCGTATTCGAAGTCATCCGAATCAATGCAGAGACTCATCAAGCATGGACAACCTTGTCATCCATCTTTCGGGAACAAGGCGACTTGAGCAAGGCTCTGTCGGCCATGGTCTATGCTGCTCATCTTCGACCCAAGGATGTCAGCGGTTGGCTCCAGTGTGCATCTTTTGCGTTGGACACAATTGGAGACGATGAGGCTGGAAATCTCAATACAGCAAGGCTCTGCTATTCCGCTGCTCTGAGAGCCGATCACACGAACATCGATGCCAGACTTGGCAAGGGCTTGGTCTGTCATAGACAAGGTCATCTCGCGGCCGCCATTTCTGATTACAAAACCGTCCTCAAGCACCGCCCCTACGATCTAGAAATCGTTAGAAAGCTTGCAGAGGCATGCCTGGACAACAAACAAGCCGATACAACTGTTCCCAGCGCGATCGCCGCTTACAAGCGGTTCTTTGACCATGAAAAATCAGATCCTTCAGCTGGCATGGAAGCCCCTTGGCACGATATCGGGATTTACGTGGATCTTTTTGCTGCAACTGGCCGCTATCAAGATGCCATCTACCAAGCCAAGTCATTATCCAGGTGGCTGTTGGGTCGCGATGCCGAGACCTTTTGGGACAACTGGCAGTCGGATGATCGAGAGTGGGACGGAGATGATGAACGACGGCTCTATGTTCCGGAGTACACAGCGGGAGCCTGGAGTCCTGAACTCTATGGTCAATCGTTTCCATGGGATCTCCGTTCTCGACTGGCCATCTATAGATTTCGCCTTGGTGATGAAGATGAGGCCATGGTAAGTGGTCTTGTTATTGCGCTGGGCGAGATGCTGACATGGCTCAACAGAGACATCTATGGTGGTTTGATCCTGTGCTGGAACACACGAAGGAGTTTGCCAGCGACTTCCCCTTCATGGCCTTTGATATGGCCGAAGAACTGGCCCACCGAGGCCATACTCCCCTCGCTATCTCATACTATCAAATTCTGCGAGATCTTCCTGGAGACCCTGACGCAACCATCCTACTACAGTTGGGACGATGCCATTCCGCGATGGGGGAGAACGCAACTGCAGAGGAATACTTTCTGGCTGCCATCGACGCTGACGAAGACCAGATCGATGCCCGTATTGAGCTGGCTAACATGTATGAAAAGGCTAGGGAGGACGAGGAGGCCTTGATTCTCGCTGCCGAGGCACTGGCTCTCAGGGAAGCACGAGATCAAAATCTTGATGGTGACCAGAGCCAAGTAGCAGTGCCTGCCCAGCAAAACCGGCGGGTTCCGCGTCGAACCGGGGCTGTGCCTCGGAGGACGGATGCATCTGGTAGGCGTCTTATTCCGCGAAGATACCGACCGAAGCGACTAGCAGGCGCCGATAAGCGTCGTCAAGAGGAGCAAGCTCGCGCTGTGAAGCTGGCTGAGCAGTATGAGGTTGTACAAGACTTGCGCAAACAGATACGAGAAGGCCGCAACGACCTCATCTCTGCTTGGATGGCATCCTCCAAAGAGCTTGTGGATGACTTCCGATCACTAAAGAAGTTCTACACCTGGGACAAATACCTGCATTTCCTCGGCCCGAAAAGTCTCCAACAGAATGAAGCGGATAAGCCACAGACGGAACTGGCTCAGATGTACGAAAGACTTGCAAGAAGTGAGTTCTAGCTGCCTGTGACGACTTGATATCATTAGGTGCAGGACACTGACCTTATATTCAGCTCTTGCTCCCCATCCTGGGAACGAGGGCCGAGAGGCGGGAACATCGGAGCTCGATGCTCATCAGGGAATTTCCTTCAACAACTGGTTATATCTGTTCCTCGACTATGCTATTGGATTGGCTATCGCACACCGACGTGACGAGGCATATCAGGTTTGCGAGGCAGCTCGAGATTCTACAGCTTTCCAGGCGCCAGAACATGGCTTCATGATCTACGTCGCCTGGAGTGGTACGTTAATGATAAAACTGTCTGGGTTGAGGTTGCTAACATGATTAGTTTGTGCTATCTACACAAGTGACGAGGAACGATGTGTGGCGACAGCCCGCCAGTTGATGAGGGAGGGTGCAATGTCCGACTCGTATCGGATGTTTGCCCTTCTTTCGAATCTTTGCCAATCTCCTGTTTCTTGGTACACCTCAGGTCCGGCCCAGAAGTATCTGCTTCGGCAGATCAAAGCAATGGATGATGCACACACAGAGAGCGTAGCAAAGGCGGCTGCGGGCGAAGGTACAGAGGTGGCCCTTGATGCTTGTGTCCTCATGCTTTACGGGCACATTCTGTTCACCTCTACGAGTTACACATACGCACTTGGTATGACCCGAACTTGGAAAACAAAAGGATATAGACTGACTTTTCCTTGCAGGCTACTTTCTCCGTTCTCGTGCATTGGACCCTGATAATTCGATGGTCAACCTCAGCTTGGGTTTGGCATATGTTCATTACGGTCTTAAGCGTCAATCCACCAATCGTCAATACCTGCTTCTGCAAGGGCAGTCCTTCTTGTCACGATATGCCGAGCTCGGATCAATGGACCAAGGGGAAAACAACGGCTCCACTAAAGCCGAGGCATATTACAACATTGGGCGTTTGTACCAACTCTTGGGCATCAACTATCTGGCGCTTGAATATTACTCGAAGGCAAAGAAAGTGTCTCGTGAGAGACCAGGAAATGATGGTACTACTGGTGAGCTAGAGGCCATCATGCTGAGCAACGAGTTGATTTCGTTGCTCATTAACCAGAACAACTCGAAGGCTTTGGCTCTACTCAAGGCGAAGATTAGGCTATGAAGGCCTTAATGTAAAATTCTCACTAGCGTTGGTGCCTGTTTAGGTTCAAGAAATTCGATACCCATTTTAACAGATGGTTACATTATCCCAACAAACGTTTAACTGGCTCATTAGCTTCCTCTGTTTGAAAGCTCTGAGAAACAAGATGAATTAAAGTCTTAGTATCCAAACAGAAACCCTCAAGCGATGACTAGTGTCTATTACTGTCGAGATAATGAGAGGGTCATTTCATTGGGTTATCACACCATCCACGCCATGGGGTCACCGTCACCAGGATCAAAGATACCATTAGACATCTAAGCAACTTGTCAGTAAGCCTTAGAGTGCGAGACATCGGATTGCAACTTACCATAAAGTCCCAATCCTCACCAAAGTCAAACACTGCATTCGACGGCAGCTGGCTTTGGTCGACTTCGTTCGTTTCCATCTCCGCTGCCGCAGATTCCAATATGGGCAAACATCTCTCCTCGGCTACCTCTCCAGCTCTAATCATGAATTCGGCCAAGGCCTCTCCTGAAAGGCCCTGCAGGAGGCCTTGAATTTGTGCAGCTGCCACGTTAATTCCAAGGTAGCCCTTTATGTTGGTCTCCCCGGCCTCGATGCACCGTAGTGACCAAGTCTTTGAATCTTCTAGAGCACATAGCAAGTCCGACCTCAACGGCGCCGGGCATAAGCTTTCTTCCTCCTGGAGTTGATTCTTTAGCTCGATTGCTATGATGAGGCTGGCCTGCCAAGCCACTGTTCGAAAGAAACCAAAGCCGCATATCGTGTAACGTGAGAATTCATAACGGCTCGAAGCAAATACATCGTTGTCGGAATGCGCAGCCAGGGTAGCCTCTGAGGAGGGAGGGTATGCCGCGCACCAGAGTTTGAACGAAGCTTCGACTGACACCTTGCGGGAGAAGGCGTAACATGTCTCGTGGAGTGACGGACCGAGGAAGGGGAAATGGAGGGCTGAGACATACCGACGCATGATGAAGTCTACCGCAGATAGCTCAAATTGGGATGGCGAACTTCCGGGAGCTGATTTACAGCTGTGAAGGGTTTGGGTTAAGGCCCTGTAAGAAGCCCTGAGTTCTGCGTCAATTCGTAAGGTTTCCTCGTAGCCTCCCTGGGAACCAATGTTGTTTAGAAGTTTGGCAACATTGAGGCGATCTGGGAAAGTTTTTCGCAAGGCTCTGGCGATGGACAACTCAGTGAACTCGTGTTCCGGCCGGGGCGCAGGATCCTCTGCTGAAAGCTGATCATCATCAAAATTGCCGGGAGGCTCGGTGTCGAAATCATCCAGAGATATGAGCGGAGGACTTCCAGACGATAGACTGGACTGTAGAGAAATCTCAAGAATAGTGTTCCACAAGCGCCGGCGCATCTCTGAAACGAACCTTGTTCTCTTCGACAGATGCACAGGGTCTCTATGTAGGCCCATAGACACGGCGGTTCTGTACAGCGAGCCAATGGCAACCCAGGGGGACTCACCACTGACCTGCACCATCTCTCGAGCAAGCAACAACAAGATGTTGGTTTGTAGATACTGGATACCCAATCGTGACTTGAATTCTGGTTCCGAGACCCAGGTTTGTGCCTCATAGATCCATCGGATGGCCGATACGCGCATCGAGAACTTTTCGTCGTAGGTAACAGTCCCTAAAGCCAGCACGAGCTTCAACTGAACGAGAAAAGAGTGGTCGGGATCGTCTTGGGAGGTATATAGAGCCTCGTACTGTTTTCGGAAAGTCGGGACATGGAGGATTCGATAGATTCTTTCTGTAGTTCGTAGGTAGCATTTGACAAGCTCATCCGTGATGCTTCTGGGGGGTAGTTGATTCGTCAAAGATGTTGGCCAAGGAGGTGCTCGGCGCGCCTTGATGAGCCTCGCCAACGCCTTACACTTGGTTAAGTAGATGACAATAGGGGAACTTTCATGCGCATATTTCTCCAGCATCTCGTGCATATCCCTGAGCTGGTAATTGTTAGTTTATTATCACAAGAAAGAAAACCAAACTCACCAACGTCATTGTGTAGACAAAGTGGCTTTGGCCAAAAAGGCGCGTCTTATGCGAGATCCCACGTGTGATAGGCAAAGCTCGGCCGAATATGTGATTTTCGGAGTAAAAATGAAAGGTGCCGCCTATTCGTGATGATGCTGTTTCTATGTTCGAGGCGGGCGTTGAGACTATAGACTGGGAGGACCCCAGATGGCCCCTTGACAGTTGGTCTTCTAGTTGACGAATTCTGGACTTCAAAGCCTCGACATCTTGACCGGATGGTGGAGTAGGTAAAGTAGACGCGCTTGTCAATGGGAGCTCTAAAGATGTTGCGGAGTGGCTGGGAGCTGTTGAAGCACTGCTCGTGTTGGAGGCTTCATCCTGGGATGTCGGCATGAATGCATTATGGACCTCTGTAGATATGGTGGGCACATTGTGCGAAACAGAGTGGCCGAGTTCAAAGCCTCGACTTCGCACCTGGAGAGGGTGATTCTCATAGATGCAAGCATCGTTTCTGGAGCGTACGCAGTTGCTGCAAGGGACCTCTCGGTTACACCGAATCTTGCGTTTTCTGCAAAGAGAGCATGAACTATAATAATGCGTAGCGCGTTAGCGGATGGGATCATCCGGCGAATGTTCAATCGTACACGGCTGGCCGTCTGCGGCGACGCTCAGGTTCACTCATGGGTGAGATTCCTCTTGGCAGTTGTGGGGCATGGGTTGTGGTTCATCTAGATGAGGAGAGCGAATGAAGTTTTGAAGTGCGTAAGCAATTGGCCTCAGACGAAGAATCTACGGATCGTTATGACGGAGCGAAAATCTCGATCCCGATGTTGATTGACGGAGGTTCTTGCATTGATGTTTGCGACATCTCAGGCGGAGGAGATGAGGGCACGAACTGCGCTTTGGGTCACTATGGTCCGCCATTTGCCGACTCCGATCCCCGACTCCGGGTCCACCCCGAACAGTTAGGAGACTCTATCTCCGAATCTCACTTGATCGAGAGCCGTATAAAATGGCAAAAGGATATTGATTGTGAATATTTGTAGTTCTTCACCTTCAGTGTCTACTCGTACAATAACTTTAATTTGACAACTTATTATTGTTTGATTCTACCTCGTATCCTTCTCTCTGGCCAGACTTTGCCTTCTCACTACTTAGAACACACTTACAACATGTCGACTACCAACCTCCGCAATCTCAACCAAGACGGAAACCACACCACCAACTCCGTCAATGGCATTGATTCAGGGGAAAAGGGCATCTCTTCTGACTTCTCTGATGCCAACCATCCTGATGAAGTGCCAGATGGTGGTTTGCAAGCCTGGCTTGTGGCTGCTGGAGGTGCATGCATCTTCTTCTCGTGCCTTGGCTTTGCCAATTCTTTTGGAGTCTTGCAAGAATACTACATGACTCACCAACTCCGTGGAGAGTCAGCCGACAAGGTGGCCTGGATTGGATCCATGTCGACCTTCATCCAGTTCGCTGCAGGTGCCATTGGAGGGCCGATGTTCGATCGCTTTGGCGTGAGGGTAAGTTCTGGAACAGGACAAGCCATTGATATAAAGCTTACATTGACAATGAAAGGTTATTCGACCCGCTGCCTTGTGTTATATATTCGCCACCATGATGACCAGTCTCTGTACCAAGTATTGGCAGTTCATGCTCGCACAAGGTGTACTCATGGGCGTAGCTATGGCATTTATGCAGCTTCCTGCGTTTGCAGCTGTTTCGCAATACTTCGACAAGAAGCGGGCAGCTGCGTTTGGAGTCGTCGTCTCCGGCTCCTCGATCGGTGGAGTCGTATTTCCAATCGCCTTGTCTAAAATGTTGAACGACTCCTCTATCGGATTTGGCTGGTCGGTCCGTATCATGGGGTTCGTCATGATACCGCTGATGGGGTTCTCATGCTTGACGGTCAAACCACGCCTGCCGCCGAGGACAACAACCTTCTTCATTGCTGAAGCCTTCAAGAACATGAGATATCTTCTCCTGATAAGCTCGCTGTTCTTCATGTTCCTCGGCATGTTCACTCCCTTGTTCTTCATTCCGACATACGCCGTGACAAGAGGCATGAAGCCAGCATTGGCCTCGTATTTGTTGGCAATAACCAACGCGGCCTCAACCTTTGGTCGGATCATCCCGGGTGTTCTTGCTGACAAGTACGGGCGGCTGAATATGTATGCGCTGGGGGGGCTCAGCACTGGGATCGTTATCTTCTGCCTAAACGAGACCAAAAGCACACCCGCGCTGATTGTTTACGCTATCATTTTTGGTTTCACTTCGGGCACGATTATCTCTGGAGCATCTGCAGCCTTTACTCTTGTAACAAAGGACTCTCGCGACAATGGGACATATATGGGGATGGGGATGGCCCTCAGTTCTTTTGCAGCTCTCATTGGTCCACCTGTGAACGGAGTACTGGTTGACAAGTATGCAGGATTCTTTCAAGTTTCAGTATTCAGTGGTGTGATGTGTTTGGTTGGTGGGTTTGTGGGTTTACTCACTAAGATAACAACACCCCAAGGAATCTTTGGAAACGTGTAGGGGGCCCGTCGGTGCATCGCTGGCTACGTAATACTACTAGTTAGATTGGCAAGGCAATGACGAGTCGAAAGGGAAGAACCATTAACTAACATGGTGCTCACTTCTTCCTTTCTTCTTCTTCTTCTTCTTCTTCTTCTTCTTCTTCTTCTTCTTCTTCTTCTTCTCTCCCTGTCTCTCTCTTTTCTTTTCTTTTCTTTTTCTTCGCTTAGTGGTTATTCCGACAGCACCATGGAAAAGGATCCAGTACATAGATACGCTTAATTAAAGCTATACATCCCATTGCTTTATGCACAAGGTGAGTGTTGGAAGGTCATAGCTGTGATAACAATTAGACAAAATGCATACCTCGAAATATGATCTCGGCTTTCTTTCTGGGACAAGTCTTAACAAAGCAGTTGACTGGCTTTCTATTAAACGTAGTTAATATTTCGAAAGTCGACATTTAGCCTAATCCGCAATGGGAAGCGATAGACGAGCATGCAGGGCTTCGTCTAACAGATATAATGCTGCCTTATAAAATGAGTTATTGCGCGTCTTATTATACCCTCTCGGAGCTATAAGTAGCTAATTTCCTCTCTTTTAATAAAGTTAGGATTATATTAGATAATTAAAACTTAACTTTAAAATATATTAAGATATAAAATAAATTAAAAAAGGTATTTAAAATATACTTATAATAATTTATTTTAGAAGTTATATAAATATATTAAATTACTATTAAACTTATTATTAAACTTACTATTATTTATATATTTATATTATTTAATTATAAGCTTATCTTTTAATTTATTATAATTACCTCCCCTTTATTATCCTTAAGGCTATTCTTTCTTTCCCTTCTAGGCCATAATATAGCCTTCTAGATTAAGATTAATATAATTAACTTATTAGAAATTAACTAGCTATAGCTCTTATATAATTACCCTTAGAGCTATTATATAAGATCTTATTTAATATACCTCTTTAGCGAGAGAGTATTATTTTTTATTACTTAGGTTATCTATAAATAGCTTCTTTTATTTAATATCTTTTATTTTAATTTATTAAGTCTCTAAGAGGTCTTTATATTTCTTTTAAGCTTTATAAAATATTATTTATAATACTTTTATCTTTTTTATTATATTTTTATTTATTTTATTTTATAATAACCTTAATTTTTATTATTTATTTAAATTATTAAAGGCTTATTAAAGACCTTAATTAAGAAATTATTTTCCCTCTTTATATTAGATTTTATTTATTAGCTTTTTTCTTATATCTTTATAAATATTATTTTTATTATATTTTTTCTCTTTATTTATATTATTAAATTAAATTTTTTTTTATAACCTTAATTATATTTTTAATAATTATTTTATTAATAAAACTCTTTATTTTTATTATATAACCTAGGCTTATTAAGAGCTAGCCCTTATATATATTATTAATAATAAGCTAAAAACTTATATTTTTTATAATTAAAGTTATAAGAAATATAATATAATAAGTCTTTTTTCTTTTAATTTTTATATTTTATAATTAATTTTATTAGATTTTTTTTAAGCTCTTAGGTATTATATAGGTATATTAAGTAATTCTTAAGGACCTTTATATATAATATATTAATAATAATAATTAGTCTTAATAAGAAATTAATTAAGCTTTAATTATAATAGCTAAGTATAATTTAGCTTAGAATATTATCTTTAAGCTATTAAATAAGCTTATTTATTAGGCTTTAATCTAAGAGATTTTAAAAAATAAAATAATATTTTAAGAATTAATTTCTTTAAAATAAATTATAATCCTCCTTATTATATAATTAATTTATATTTTTTTTTTAATTCTTTATTTAATTTAAGCTTTTAAATTAATATTAATTTATCTCTAAGTAAGATTTAATCTTAAGTAATAATTATTATTTTTTTATATATTTTTAATAATATCTTAGCTTATTAGCTTAAAATAGCTATTTTATAGCTTAATTAATATAAAAATATTTATATTTCTAGGGAATTTAATATTAATATTATTACTTTAAGTATTAATATTAATTTTATTAAGTTTTTTAATAATTATTAAGATAATTATACCCTTAATTATTTTATTTTATATATTAAGAAGCCTTTTATTTATAATCCCT